TATTTTACCTAATAATATTATAAATTTTTGAAAACAATTCATATTTTCTGAGATTTTCTTTATATACTACGTTTTATATACAGACGAAAAAAATCCGAGATAAAATTTTTTTCGGATGAAGCTTCTCATTGGAAGATCAATACTGGGAGTTCATAAATATATGTGCGATTGGGTAGTAAGTATATATGTAAATTTAATGAAGTCCTAATTTTCATAATGTGAATTTAATACTTAAACACTAATTATTATTAATCATCGTTGCAACTGGAGCGGAAAATATGACGTTCAAGTAATTTATAGCCCATTCCAAAGGTAGAGATATCGAGCGATGAAACGTTCATTTAAGCGATTCAGTTTATTGCTTTATTTACCGACAGCCTATATTCAACGTACAGCCATTATTTTACATCCCAAATAACAGTTATACTTTTTCTTCAAAGTACGATCTCTATATTACGATGTTTATTCGAGGTAATGTTATTTAATTAATCTAACGTAATTATTAATGAAACAATTATTCGAAAAAATTATGATTTCGTGTATCTATATAACTACGATTTAATATATTAATTAAACATATATATATATGTATATATATATATTTTTAATTCCTAAGAATAAATTCAATTGATGTAGATATTAAAACTAATAATTCGACAATGAAATAATTCCAGTATAATAAATGTTGATCAAACTGATAGTTAACTGAAGCTGAAGAAAGTAAATTGAATAAACTACAATTTAATTTCCTAAAATAAAATGAATAAAAAGTCTAATTCTCTATAATGGTCTAAAATACTGTTTGAATTTTGTTGAAGTGTGAGAATATATGAAGGATATATTTAGATATAACAAATACAATTTTATATTATTATTAAAATGAATAAAAATTCTAATGTCCTATAATGGTCTAAAATACTCTTCGAACTTTGTTGAAGTGTGAGAATATATGAAGGATATATTTAGATATAACAAATAAAATTTTATATTATTATAGAATTTTATAATTTTATATTATTATAGAATTTTATAATTTTATATTTACATTTCATCATAATTATACGATAGTATAAATAATTATATTATGGTAGTGTAAGTTAGTTTTTATATTATTATTAAATAATAGTCACATAAAATAGTATAGAAAAATAGAAAAATATATAAAATGGAAATTGAGTAGTCCAGAAAATATTTTAATTTTATTTTTCTTTTAATATTCTATTTAAACTTACATATACTCGAATATTTCTTCAGCTCACTGTTCCTTTTGCCACCTTCTTAAATCTATCAATATACTGGGATGTTCTTTGGTATAAAATTTTTCTATAAAATTTTGGTATAAAATTGGTATAAAATTGGTATAAAATTTCGTTGTAAAAATATCTTAACTTTTACAGAGTACACGAAGGTATTCTAAAGCAACAGTGTGATGCACATAATTCGAACGTACTTACATAGATCTAAATGCAATATTGAAGTAACGAAGTTAAAATACTTGTGGTACTAAATTGTACTTATAAAAATTAAAGATAAATTGAATATAGAGTGTAAATGTTGCATCAGGGCACAAATGTGTAGAAATATCCATAGGCACTTGGAAACTATAAAAGCAGCGGGAATAATGGGGTTGTGGCACATGGAATTGATTAGGCCAATCAAGTCAATGTTAAAATAAGGTAAAAGATATGTTTTATCTACTGATGATTATTCGAGAAAAGAACTATTTGGTTGACTGAATTATAAATAACTAAATATTTAATATGAAATATTATTGACGAAGGATTTCTTTCATTATAGGAGACGTACAAACATGAGTAATATTTATATACAACACGCACTTTGGATATAGTAAGTATTAGTTAATAATATTTCAATGGATTGTATATCTGTTTTTAAAAATTTAACCGATATACAATATTTACTTTCTAAACTTCTATATTAATATATTAAATAATTTCTAATTTGAATTACAATAATAAATAATACATTTTAATAAATTTGATTTTAAAGGTATTTCACATTAATAAAATTAATATATTTGTTGTAGCTCGGTTATAATGAAAACAACTGTTGGTGACAGTGAGTTAGAATTATGGGCAAAAGAAACTCCAAGGGCATAAATAAATTTCATACAATTATGTATGGATGGTTATTGTGATGACAGCATATTTCATACACAAGGTGGTGATACCACAGGTACAGGAGAAGGTGGTAAAATATATGGACAGCTATTTAAAGTGAGACTATATTTAAAAATAAAATGAATTCCTTTTTTATTCAAAAATAATTATTAGATATATGCGTTTTAGGACAAATTTCAAGATTACATTTTTATCGAAGAGATTTAATTGTTATGGTTAATACTGGGAAAGATGACAGTGGTTCCCAATTCTTCTTTACTCTTAGTTGTACACCAGATTTGCAGAATTAACATACAATCTTTGGTAAAGTTACTGGAGAAACTATATATAACATGCTTAAACTTGAAGAAGCACTTGTAAATGAGGTAAATTTAATGTTCACAAGAAAATATATCAAGGATTGATATAAATATAATATTTCCTCCTTTTTGTAGAATGATAAACCAGTTTATCCTCCAAGATTGATGAAAACTACAATATTGAACAATGCATTTTGTGATATTATATAATAGTACAGGAAAGTGAAGTTGTAAAGGACAGTTCAAACA